TGCCGGCCGCACTGTTGCCACATAGCGAGCTGCGCGCTCACCATCCTTCTTGGCCGCTTCGGTAGTCAGGCACTGCCACAATTCATCCAACAAGTTCGCGTCACTAGTCGTCTGCTTCGTCACGCCTTCCGTGTCTTTTCTTCCGGCTGCGTCTCCCGGTCCTTGGTCTTCATCCAACTCCAGGTTCTGCGGCTCTGAGTCGTACTCAACTGACGTTCTGTCCTTCACTTCGTCTTGCATCATCTCCGCTGACTCGACCATGCATGTCTTGTCGTGTCGGTGTTCATCATCATTCCTTGAGCTCTCGTCCTTATCGTCTTTAACACCACGAGTTCCAACACTTGTCATCAGCTGGGGATTGTCATTCTCCGGTCGCCGTAATCCCTCTACTGCGCCGGTTTTTGCGTTCCCGACACCTTGACTTCGGTCTTTCGCTTTCGCAGGTTCAGTTCGTTCTTGGCCTTCGCGTCAGCGTCTGTACAGTCCTTGACCATTTGCCCATACTGATTACACGCGTAGCATTTAGGTCCAGTCGGGCATTGTGCCGCCCAGTGTCCATTCTTGCCGCACTTCCAGCATGCCTGCATGTCCTGCGCTGCTCTCGATCTTCCTGGTGGTTGACTACCGCCACTTCGTTGTTCCTGACGAGGTTCTGCCACTTGTTGTACAGCGGATTTCTGTTTTTTACGCTGTGGTTTCACGTCGGACTCGTCGCTGCTCGATATCGGGGACTCCACCCTCGTCTTCTGGGCTTTCACTGGCCTCTTCATGTCTTCCCGTCGACTTCTGACTGCGTTTTCGGTAGAGCGTTTTCGTCTGGCCTTCCGTGGCTCATACCAGAACTTGCCGTTCCATACGCGGCCCGCTGGCACATCCCACGTGCCTGAGTACTCGTTCCACACGCCCTGCGGGTTCGTAAAGAGAGCTAAAGTTCCGTGCTCTGCTTCCGCGGCTGTTGCACCACCTGCACTCGCCATCTTTAACTCCGTTGGCAATCCACTTCCACCGATACCCGGAATCACTAACGTCTGGCCTGTCGTGCCATCAACTGGTACTAGGTAAGGACTTGGGGCTGTGGCCCACGGCTGTCCGATGTTCTGCATGCCTTGAGCTACGTTGTCCATAGGGTCATCAATTTCATTGGCTTTATCCACGGCCTCTTCCAAGGTTTTAGGCTTCGGTCGCTGCTTCACCAACTTCTTCGTAGTCTTATCTAGGTTCCTGTAAAACTGCGCTAATATAACACGTTCACTGACTTTATTACGACCGACCACATCTCGCAATGCAACTGCAAAATCAGAGTACGTCTCTCCAGGCATCATCCTGCGCATATTCACACGCCATTCTGCTGCTGACTTATCCAGTTTTCTCCATACCTTCGTAGAAGCGCTTTCTTTAGGTAAGTCCATGTCCTGTCACGTGATGGTAATCGTCGATTCATGTTCACCCACCAACGTGCTGCATTATCCATAAGTTTGTTTCCCAGGATGAAATACAACGCATGATCTGGCCATTCTCCACGTCCAGACTCGGCTGCTCCTTTCAATGCTAGATCTACTCTGTCAATCCATGTCGAAACCGAGACCTTTGGCGATGGAGTGAAGGTCGGCAACTCCAAGTCCTTTACACTCTTACGTCGTGGTTGTCTTCTCCGTTCTTCATTTTGTACATTTCGAGCATGCCGCCCACGTCGTTCATGTCGCTCACGACGTACGCGTTGTTCATGTCTTCTGCGTCGGCGTTCTCTTCGCCCTCGTCGATCATTAGATTCCGTCAACTCATCACTGGAGGCGCTGGAACTTCCACTCGGCTCGCTGCTCTCGCCACCGCTGCCGTCATCATCATCAGGATCGCCGATCTCATCACTAGGGTCATCGTCGCTATCGTCGTCATCACTAATGCTCCGACCGGATGAACTGTTGTCTTCATTACCACTCGAACGCATACCCTCATTACACGACTCACTTCGTCGCACCACACGTCGACCAACGTTGTACCTTTGGCCTCTTGCCGGGGCTGGCTGCAGTCTTGCGACCACAGTCGTCAACTTCTGAATGGCGGACGCCATTGCTTCCATGTCTGCGTGATTGTCCGGAGCTACACAGCCACTCGTAGCTGCACTCGTCACCAATTCATCACCTCGTGGTGCCTCATCGTCACCGTGTTCATCGTGTTCGGCATCCTGGGCCTCCTCAACAACTCCGTCGACACTTGATGCTCGACGTACGCGTTGCACACGCCGTTGGGATCCTCCACGTGCGCGTTTGGGACGTCGTTCACCGTCAACTCCATGCGCAGCCTTAGAAGACGCTTGTAACTCAGCCACCGCTCTCGTTAACTGTTGCATAGTGGACGCCATCCGCCTCATGTCTTCGTTCCGCATCCCAGCTTCTTCAGCACCTTCCTTCGCATTGCGGTCTTCTGTCGTGTTCTTGTCATTACCGGTCGTGGACTTGGACTGCTTGTGTAATGGGCTTGCTACGTGCCCACTACTTCGGCTTACACGTTAGCGCACGTGTATGAGGAAGCGTAGTTTGCTTTAACTTAGATTAACTATACTTACGTCTC